AATTAAATATCGTCCGCCACAAACGGATCTCATAAAAATAATAATTATTATTATTATTTTTTGTGGTCTAATAGAAAGTGAGGTGGGCTGATGATCGGAAGGATGCGAGTTCAAATCCTGCCTGGAACATCACTACTAGTGTGTCCTTGAGCAAGGTACTTAGCCCTCGGTTACTCTAGGGAGAATGTTCCTGTAATTGGTCATTGTAAATCGCTTTGGAATAAGGCGTCTGCTAAATGCCTAAATTGTAAATTATATTTTTGGGAGGATAAATTCCACAGATCCTCAACTCCGGAGTGTTTCACTAATTAACAACGCAACACAGAGTAACAAGAACGTTGGGGGAGGGGGGGGGATGCGGTGCGGTTCCCCCACAAATAGAATCAAATTCTGTGGGAAACACTGTTATACATACATAAAGTAGTTGATTATTGCCTGCCCATGTGGTTTGAAAAGTATTTAGTACGGTGTAAGAAACATTGAATCAAAAGGAATGAATGAATCAACCTAATTAGTGTTCAAACTGATCCACTTACCCTTGAAGATGAGGGATGAGCTGCCCGATGGTGATCTCTTGCGCCACCTTGTGGTACAGATCCTGACTGTTGAGCACCATGGACTCCAGGATGGCCAGGGAACGCTGCAGCACGGCTGTGTCCATGGCCGACTTGTTCACATAGCCGGCAATCTACAGGAAGGACAGAGTGAGGGAGATAAAACATCTGCAGAAAACACTACACCATAAATAATTGAGTGTGCTCTCTAAGGAGAAGAGACAGCTAGGAAAAACATGGGAATATCAATTTAGGGAAAATCTGTGCTTCTACTTCATCATTGATGTTCCATATACAGTAACAGCTGTTTATGTATCAAAAGGACGTGCTGTTGTTCAGCTGTAGGAGGAAATCACATTCCTTTTTACAATCAGGAACTATTTTTCTGATTATTTTCACACCACATAAATGCAGCTCAAATGCTATCAATGTTAACAAAATGTAAACCTAATTTGTGTCTATCGCCCTGTGATTTGAACCACCCCAAAATGTAATGGGTTATTATTTGGGCCATGCTACATCCTCTCCCTAAGGTTCATGAAAACCAGGCCAGCAGTTTTTCCGTTATCCTGCTGACAAACAGACACACAGAAAGTTCCCTGAAATTGAAACATTTTCCTGGCTGACCTTCTTGATGAAGGCCACAGAGAAAGTGTCCCAGGAGACGATGCCGTGGTCCATCAGCTCCACGAAGGCCGTCAGAGTGAAGGACAGCAGGTCGCCAAAACTAAAAAACAACACACACAGACACATAATAGACCACAGGAAACTTCTCTTCAGCAGGTGGCTTGGAGCAGTGAAAAGCTGCACAGCCCAGATGGCTCCAAACATAACGAGGAATAAGCGGTCAGCAGAGAGAGAGACAGAGAGGTGGCGGCGAGGAAGAGAGGGGACAGAAGTACATGAGATCAATGCTGCAACCAGGCTTGCTGAAAAAAAGACAGAAATATAACAGAGACAGGGAGAGAGGAAGACATGGAAAGAGGTTTGCGATGCAGTGCAGACAGACTGGCCTTCAAGGAACAGCTGGGGCCGTCAGAGGGCCAGCTGGGGCCG